AAAAGAGTTGGTCTAGTTCTATTAATAGAACTCTATTTACTTTCCAACTTTATTTATATCTGAATACTTCGGTAGCGAGATGGCTCAACCGAATATAGGTTTCTAGGGACTATTAACGTTACCTAGTTGATCCTCCGATCAGCCAACCAGATGTGCCAGTCTGATGACGGCTAAGTCGGTAATTCTTGACAGTGGCAAGTTATTGGTTAAAACAATAACTAAGGACATCAAGAGTATTTTTCTTTTATTTATTTATTTATTCTAAAGTTAGGACTTTATGAGTCTCTCGGATTCGCCCCAGTGAAACATACCATAATTTCTAATAGAGCGACAACGAAACACTAAATAAAATCCCTTCGGCGGAAACAGTACTTAGAGGGTTATATATAGGCAATGTCTGAGCCTCACAATCCCTCAGCGTATTGCTGTTTTCACGAGGTGTCACCTAACTTTACTAAATGTCTTATTTCGGTTATTTACTTTGATATTTTCACGATAGTTAGAATTTACCTACGCGTTTATTTATTCTAAGGCGTTAATATCGCCTCGAGAGACCGAATCTTACAAGGTGTAGGATGCCCGCTTGGTACATCGTGCTACTGAACTACCACTGGACGAGTTCCTATGGCGCGAGGGTAGTTCCACATTTCAGCACATCATCGTAGACAGGGTCAATGATGCAAGTCAACAAGCAGAATATTCAGGGCGATGGTTGGAGGGATCCCTTACGAGTGCTATGCAATATCCAACCAGCAGCCTACTTGGCTGCGTCCTGCGAGTGCTTGTGTGAGTTGTGAGTTGAGTTGTGAGTTATGACTGTGTACCGTGACTCCCGTATGGTTAGCTTGTGTGTCCGACTGTTCAAGCTTCAGTGTCCGGGACTCCGTTTCCCTATTGCGAATTTGCAACTTCACTTCTTGTGTGCGAGAGAGACTACATATGCTTATTGTTTGTCGGTTGTATGAGCGGCTGAGGCCCTGTGTTCAATGCTGAGGCTATGCCCTGTCTGAGAGACTCCTGTTATGTGATCAGTGAGACAGTGAGGGTGATGAACCGATACTCTCGTCGACAACTCACAGAATCACTTTTATATAATGGTTTGTTCAATTAAGTAGGCTATGGGTTTGTGGTATGGTGTTTAAAAATAAAATAAAAAGACAAACCACCCCCCAAAAAACCCCAAAAACAAAAATATCTAGTCTTTTGAACGATAGCCTGGGGCCCTGGGCCCTGGAGTCTGGACCTGGACCAGGGCCTAGTTTGTCTTTAGATATCACCTCTACTACTATTATGCTTTAATTTATCTCGATTCTCGTGTTTTGTAATACATATCATCACACGGCATATAGAGCACGCATGTCGAGTCAAGATCCCGTATATCTTGCAGATTTAGGAGATGATGCGCTTAGCAGTGTACTATCTGGAAACAATACAGCTGGAAAAGTACAGCGCGACAACAACAAGATGGACGAGGTACGTTTTTCTCGGTTGCCATTCGTATTCAGCTATGTGTATATTGTGGTTAGTAGAGTTTCGGCGTAGACAAAATGATAACATTAGTTTTGGTTTGAAGCTTACGAATCCGGTCACTGCCGCTGGGCTGTTTGTGTTCGCAGAAAAGCATTTATCAGGGTGTCGAATTGTATTTACGTCATGGATGATTAGATGTATATCTTATTGAGATTGACCGTTGTGTCAGGCTAATTGATGGCATAGTAGAATTTATAATGGCACAATGAAGTATCCGGTATGTACACGCACTAAGCAAAAGTTATTGATACATATGTAGTATCATAATATTTATACTCTTTATTTGTGGCAGTTGTCATAGTGTACTCACAACAATCATATATATATACGATTTCTTACAGCCAAAGTGATATAGGCTGTATTCATTGTTTGGTCCTTTGCAATAGCGTGACGTTTTTTTATGCATGACTTAGTTCTCCATTTTGGTTTGTTTTAGAAGCTTATAATTATACTAATAGTTGCAGTACTTTGTGTTTGAAAGGTAGCATTCACCAGTCGAGGTTCAGTACGCTCACAATTGCACTGTCGGTGACGGCGTTTGTGATATCGAATAATAAGATGAACCGGAACGTACATACCGATGTATATTTAGTTGCACAAATCAAATTCTGTAAAATATTATTTGCCTTTGATTAGTATTTCTCGCTGGCGTTAGAGTTTGAAGCGCAGTCCATATCTACTATACTAGTTCGGTTTGCAAAATCGAAGGTTTCAATAGGAAGCTGTGCACAGTTGTTTTCTAGAGTGAAAGCAAAACCCATAAAGCGCATACGTTACATGATCGATCGGTTTTCATAAGAACTATGGATCTACATAACATGTATTACCGGTATACTGCTCAAATGGGGATGCAGTTCGCACTCGGCTATAGATTGTTCTCGCAAGAGTTTCTTTGCAATAGCGTGACGTGTTTTTATACGTATAATTGTACCAATAGTTGCAGTACTTTATGATTGAAAGGTAGCATTTACCGGTCGAGGTTCAGTACGCTCATAATTGCTCTGATGGTGACGGCGTTTGTGATATCGAATAGTAAGTTGGACCGGAACGTATACACCGATGTATATTTATTTGCACAAATCAAATTCTGATAAAATCATTATTTGCCTTTGATTAGTATTTCTCAGACGCTGGCATTATAGTTTGAAGCGCAATCCATATCTACTATACTAGTTCGGTTTGCAAAATCGAAAATTTTAATAGGAAGCTGTGCACAGTTGTTTTCTAGAGTGAAAGCAAACCCCACAAAATGCATACGTTACACGATTGATAGGTTTTTATAGGAACTCTATGGATCTACATAACATATATTTTCGGTACAATGCTCAAATGGGGATGCAGTTCGCACTCGGCTATATTTCGTTCTCGCAAGAATAACCTACTCGTTATTCTTCTTTCACTAACCTTTTTATTACATTCTGTTTCTTGTCAGATGCTGGGAAGCACCATGGCTGACAGATTTAGCAGCCCCAAGACCAATACGCAATATACAATGGATTCTTTCACGGACTCGAAATCAGACAGCAGTAAGCAACGCAAATCAGTTTTGACCTCTCTGAAGTACTCTTGAATATTGGCAGGCGTGGTCTATCCTGTTCTATTTGGCCTGTGTCTAACATTCTATTATCTGATGTATGACCAGCTGGGTTCGATGGCAGAATTCCAGATGGCGCTATTTACTGATCCCGAGGGGAAAAAAGACAGGGTCTTCGCTTATGCCTATTTTATATTCTCGGGCACACTTTTGTTTGGCTTGATACTTGTACTGTTCTTCTACTCCTTCTTGGATAAGCCTGATGTTCGGTCCCGGCATCACGGCTTTATCGTTCACTTCTGTGCATCAGTAGTATATACGTGCGTAGTCGGTTTGATAAGCGCAGCCTTGTTTCTGGAACAGACATCCATCAAGGCATTAGATATCACAATGTCCGGTGAAACACCGATTGTCACCGAATCGCAAACATACAGCAGCGTGTACGTCTGGTTTACGATACTGTTTTACTTCGGATTTGGGATGATCTTCTCTGCGGTTATCAATCGTATGCGATTCATGTACCTGATTTTTTACAATCGACAAAGCCGACCTGAATATTGGAAGGGTGTGGTGCTACACATAATGTTCTTCAGCGTAACTGTAGGGTCATCACTCCTTGTGTGCCATTACGCTGATCTAGAGTGTACCAATTTTCAACAGCTTTCGGGCCCAATAGTTTTGGTGCGACACTCGCTGTCGAATACTCTTATTACCTCTTTCGCACTAGACACGCCCATATGTACTTTGTGGATTGGTACGGTAATTTACGCTGCTTTATCATCTGCGAGCTGTGCTTTTGGGGTCCAGTCATCTACGGTCTGATAATCGGAGATCAATGGCGGGTTACTCTTGCAACTTGGGTGGAAGGCTGCTTCTTCGCCTGGTTGTTTGGCATCGACAATTTTCTGTTTATAATTGTGAAAGTTCTCGCCCAAGCACTAAGTAGAGGCGACATACTGGAGCATATCGATTTGCAGGGCGCCTACCTCAGAGCGCACGAAAACGGCAAGGAGCTCTCGACTCTGCTGAGCTTGGAGAAAACTGTATGTGCAATGTTATAGTACACCCTATGCATTCGTAATCGCTGTATATGTGATTCATTTAACATCATAGGTCGGGTATAGATTATGTCCCATATACTTTTGCTCCGCTCCGCGGCAAGCGGGAAGAACATTTCATACACCAAGCTCGTCGTTAACCTACTTTATTTTACTATTACAGCCACAGAGAAATATGTTCCTACGGTACGCAGAACGACGCCACTGCGCGGAACAAGTAGCATTCCCAATCGAGGTCCAGGCGTGTTCGCTGGCGAAGTATAGCAACAACCAGTCCATAGTGGAGAAAGCGGTGCATATTGCCAATACATAGGTACGGTCGGATAGCGAGAAAGAGGTCAACTTGCCCGGGGCGAAACGAGATAAACTCTTACGCAGCATAGAAGAGAATGACAATCTGGATATGACGCATTTCGACGAAGCGTTTCAAGAAATATCCAAGATGGTCACCAGCAATCTAGTTGTGGGTTTTTTGAAAGTCGCGAATATTTAGAGTATGCAGAGAAAGTGACAGAAGAACAAAGGATTCAGAAAGTTCTGGAAGACAAAGGCATGATGGCTTCTCGTGGCCCTCAGCACAGACCAAAATTAGAATTGGAAGTCAGCCAAGATTCGCCATACAACAATGGTCAAGCGATTACCATCGTCTAATGCCTCCATTAATCGTATACCTGTTATGCGAAATTTACACACATTACGACTACAAGTTCCTACATACTATGCCAACAAATTTTTTTTAGCATAGAAGAAAACGCCTGTTTACCATTCACGATATATAAAAACATCTCCGATTCAATAAAATATACTAATACCTGCTTATTAATCTGATTAAGCTTCTATACTTTATCTCTATATCTCTCTCTTTTACATATATATATATATATATACATACATACATACATACATACACACACACACAGACACAGACACACACACACACACATATATATATATAATATTTATATATATATATGCAAGGACGCAGACAAATACATACACACACGTACACGCACACACACACACACACACACACACATATATATATATAGATAAATATAGAATATTATATATATATATATTATTTTATATATATATATATATATATATCTATATCCATACATCTATCTATATATTGCTCTACCTATATCTATTCACACACACACACACACACACACACACACAGATATAGATATATATATAATACAGAATATATATATATATATATATATATGTGTATATATATTATAC